AGGATCATGACCTGAGCCGAAGGCAGTCGCTTAACCAACTGAGCCACCCAGGCGCCCCAATCATTCATTCTTATATCCTTTTTCTCTCTCTTTGTTTTTCGGATGTGTGGAAACATTGTCCAGTAAATATGTCAGACTTAGGTGCTTTTATTTTTAAGTTGCTGTAAACCTTTTATGTTGTTTTAAATCTCTTGATTTTGTCCTATGTCTTAAAAATCGTTTTCTTCCCATTTTTATTCATTTAAAAGCATTTACCAAGCATTATTATGTGGGAAACCAGAATCTGACCATCTACCACCCATCCCCATGAAGGTCTCAATCCAGTAGGGGAGTCAGACACAGAATTAAATCACTGTAGATACAGTAAAATAATAGATCTTATACAGGTACAAGTAAATTACTAGAATTCTCATTTCATATTCCAAATTTTATTGTTACATTTTTCAGTTTTTTTATACAATGGCTAAATTCAAATATATAAACTCTATGATTTTTTTCCAAAGCACTATTAATATTGCTATCATCTTATCATATAAATTTGATCTTTTCATTGTTTTATTCATGGTTTCTTTTTTTTTACTTTTAATTTTTTTATTACTCATGATTTTGTGTTGTTATCTTCCTTTCCCCTTTTTATGGCTTTTAAATATTTACTTACTTAATACATATTTGAGGGTAAGTTTTTATGTTAGTGGTAGTAGTAACATGACTTACTACATTTTTTCTGGTTAATTACTCTTTTGGTGCTATTAACTATACTTTGAATGCATGTCTTCATTTTGTTACTATTAAACATATCTTTGTAGGTTTATGAGCCAAGGGCAGGCCACCCCAAAATGTGCCACTTTGCTATATTGGTTATTTTGCATTAAACTTACTTAAGAGTCAGCTGGTGTAGGAAGGACACTCTGCCCTACACTTTGTCCCCCCAAAAGCAGGAAATAAATCTCCCATGAAAAAGGTGTCCTCTCTGAACCAGGAGGTGAAGAGGCATCCTTATCACCAGAGATGGGAAATTTAGAGCAGAGAGGGCTGAATAAACTTTTGTTACTTTTTATTAATTTACTACCCCAGCCCAAATTCTGTTTACAATTCCTCACTAATTAAAGCTCCCAAAGTTAAGTTTTCTTTGTCCTGTCAATTCCTTATAGATTTATTGCCTATTTGTCTAAAAAGTATAAAAACTGCCTGCCTTGATCATTTCTTTAGGTCTCAGTTTCAATAATGGATCTCCACGGGCACATAATAAAACTGTGTTTTTTTTTTTCCTCCCGTTATTCTGTCTCATGTCAATTTAATTTTTAGTCCAGCTGGAAGAGTTTGAGGGACAGAGGAGGGATTTTTCCTCCTCTACAGAGGCTGCAATTAGTTGTGTTTTATTTTAAAATTTAGAAGAGGCTCTTTTTAACAGAAACCACAAGGATGTTTACAGTAAAAGGTATTTATGAGACACATTTTGGATTTTCTCTTTTATCCTACAAGTTCACTGTTCCTGTTCCCAGAGTTTTCTTTTCACATACTCATATTATGTGCAACTGATGCTTTTAAACTCTTCCTTCCTCTTTTAAACTCATTTGGAAGATAACTCTAGCTCATCTCATTTTCCTTCCATTTTAAAATGTTAACACGAGTTTTTAGAACTCTATTTTCCCTCCTATTTTTTTTTCTGTTTTTAAATTAGCATACTACTTCTCTACTCTCTGAGAAACCACTTCTCCACTCTCTGAGGCAGCCTTCTGGCCTAAACCTCTGTCAGTAGACCTTGTTGATTTTAACTGAAGTGGCTGCAGGTGCCCTTGGGGGCCTTCCAACCATCCACACAGACCCAGGGGCTACAGATCCCTGGAAGGTGGGGCTCAGCCAGTGATCATCTAATCTCTTCCAACTGTTCTACCTCCCACTTGGAGGACACACTAGCATCCCTTCTATCCCCAGGTCCTTTTCAACATCAGTGTCCTCCGCAGCATTGAACTCAACATTCCAGCTCACAGTGTGTACATAAAGGAATGTTGCAGAACACACTGCCCGGCAGTGAAGGATAGAGAGGTGAGAAAAGAAAAGGCTTTCTTTGCTACTAGAAGGAGGGTCAGTCTAGAAGTGAAACGGAGCTGACATTCGGCAATTAGCAGAGACTTGATGTGTTCGAGGTCCTATGGGTCCTGAGACAAGTGGACCGAGCAGTAGGGCTATGTGTTGTGGGGGGCGGGGTGGGGTGGGCAGGCACATGCTCTCTAAGGCCAGTGAACTGTTATCAATTCTCTGAGACGTGACTTGGAAAGGTAACCCTTGTGCCTTCTCAGAAAATCTGACATAAAAGTCAATACATCTGAGAAAGTACATTTTGTACTTTTTGTGGTTTGGAGCAAAGCAGGATATATTGGGGGGGAGGGTGGTATAAGCTTGAGACTTACGGCTCTGTTTTTGCAGGAAGACCTTAGCTCTTCACACTCCTGAGCACTTCCAGTACACCCATACATGGCTGAGAGTCAGCTCTAAGCCCTACAGAGACAGCAAACCACCTGCCTAGAATGAATGCCACCAAATAAAGATGCAAATCATAGAAACCGCTTTAACTCCCCAAAGCCAGAAAGAGTCCCTGTATATTCACTGCCCATTAGCCTCGAAGTTAAAGGGAGAGGTTATCTTGTGGTGTCTGTGAGTGATTGAATGAAGTCCAGGACAACGTTTTGAAGAACTGTGTGGAGAGGTGAGAAAAATAATACCAGCACCGTTGGTGTAAATGGACAAACTACAGGCCTCGTGCTGCCCCCCGGAATTCTGAGGGTGCATCCTGCTTATTACAGTTCTAGCTTATAGTTGCTCAACAGGACGGCCACACTCCCCTTTCCCTCAGCTTACCCACCTCCTCTCATTTCTCCTACGGTGCAAGGGAACAATGACAACTCACAATTCACGGAAAGGTGAAAGTGGGGGTTTGTACAACCACGGAGAGGGGAGAAATCCATAGCGTCCCCTTGACCAAATGTAACTTTATTCCCTGCTTCTCAGGCTACCTGTGGAAAAGGGATAATTTTGTTTTTTAAGTTTCTAATCCATCACAGCCTAATTCTTTTATAAAATATCATAAAAATGAATTACTGGAAAAATTAAAAAGCATAATTAGATTCAACAGGCATGAAATGTCTCTGCCAGACTTAATCTCAATTTCAGTACTCGGCTTGTCACAGATGGGTGATAACAGTTTGCTGACTTGCTTTGGGTTGTGGACAGCCTTGGAGTACCACTTTCCAAAGTTAAACATCCATTAACTTTTTAAACACACATTTATTGAAATCTCTCCACATATCTCTCGTTCTTTCCTTCTTTCTTTTCTTTCCATTTTTCTTTCTTTCTTTCTTTCTTTCTTTCTTTCTTTCTTTCTTTCTTTCTTTCTTTCTTTCTTTTTCTTTCCTTCCTTCCTTCCTTCCTTCCTTCCTTCCTTCCTTCCTTCCTTCCTTCCTTCCTTCCTTCCCTCTTCTTTCTTCTTTCTTTATTATCTATCATCTATGTATCTATGTATCTATCTATTATCTATGTATCTATGTATCTATCTGTGTATCTATGTATGTATGTATCTATCATCTATCACCTATCTTTTACCTTGTATATTATTGCTCCTGTAGTTTCAAGCTGTATGCTTGATTTATGTTCTGTTCTTCTCTACTCTATTCTATTCCATTTTACTTTGTATCCACTCCATTCCATTCTGAATTTGTTTAGCTTATGGCCACAAGAGCATCTTTTTCTAGCGGATCCCAGAACAACTGGGTAGAAGGTATGTGTATATGATTTTGGTAATAATGCCCATAACAGTGAACCACAATGTGTTAAGAATTTGTGGGTGAGTAGTCACTTGGTGACTTGTGAATGTCCTTTTCATATTTCCTAATGCAGTTTTTTAAGTAAATGATAAAAGTTACCTTAAAAAGTGAATCTGTTTCTATTTTAGGTTTGGAATCCTTTGTTTTTTGATAGAAATCTTCAGGGGTTGTTTTGGTTGTCAGAAATTCTTTTGGATATTCTTTGGTTATACCTTAAGATTTCACAAGGAAATGCCTAATTGACTAGTTTTCTTCAGATACTTTACCACTTCCTTTAAAAAAAATTAAGAGTGCTTTTTTTTTTAAAAAAAGATTTTATTTATTTGAGAGAGAAAGAGAAAGAGAAAGCATGGGTAGAGGGAAGAGGAAGAGGCAGAGGGAGAAGCAGGCTCCCCACTGAGCAGAGAGCCTGATGCAGGACTCTATCCCAGGACCCCGGGATCATGACCTGAGCCAAAGGCAGACGCTTAATCGACTGAGCCACTCAGGCACCCCAAGAGCGCTTATTTTTTAAGATGATATCTCACTTAGTTTTATTCTTGAACTATTTATTACTTTTATCTTTTTAAGGCGTTAACAATCTTTTTCAGTCCGATGTATTATATGTCTTCTGTGTCCGGCTAGGCCAAAATTAGCATATCTGGGACCTAATGCTCATGGTGAGTGTTTTGTTTATTTTAGATTTGTGTTGATTTTTATCTAAACCCTGGACTTCTCATAGTCTAAGAGGCAAAATCTATAGTCGTTCATATTCTTGTATCTTTTACGTTACTTACATTCCTCCTGGAACTGTGTAAGATTATGACCTTGCATTTTTAGGGGAGGAAGAAAATATTTTTCTTTCTACCCTTCTAGATTTTCAGCTAGGGCTTGATGGGAGAAAATGGAACAAAGGCCAGACTTCTCTGTGGCTCATAGTCCCCAGGCAGGATTCTCCTACAGCTACCCCAAGCACTTCCTTTAATGTTTTACCAGCTTTGCTCTGGTTAGTGTTACTTTGTTCTGGTAACTGTAAATATCCCTCCAGTCCCATATATGTTAGCAGTCATCCTTCAAACATATGACCCGCTGATATACATCAGAAGGGTCTCATGACTAATGTTTTACTAGACAGTAGTAAATAACCTTAACAGTAGCTAGCCCCTCAAGGTCCTGGAAACCTTGCTTCCAAATTCCTTAGAGACTTAACGCTATCCCTGACCCCCACTAACTAAAAAAGCATATAATCAGTTACTCCTCACAAGGCCAGTGCAGATCTTTCTGCCCATGGGTTCCATCCCCCTGCTGTAATAAAAGCACCATTTTGCACTGAAAACTGCTCAAAAATTCTTTCTTGATCCTTAGCTAGCTCACGGCCCCACATCAGGACTGTAACAAAAGGCAGATCAACGAGAGAAAAACAAACAAGTTTATTGACATGTTTATCTTATGTATGCATTGGAGAAACTCGGGGATGAGTGACTCCAAGTTTTATTTACAGCCTGGTCTTTGCAAGGAAAGACATTTTTGGGGAAGTGACAAGATAAAGGAAAAGGACTTTGGATCCCCACCGGCAACAAATTGTGTGAAAGCAACTATGAGGGAAACAAGTCTCCCTTACCTCCGTTTGGTATGTAGATTTCTGCTGTGCCTCCAGGCTGGATAAGGGACTAAAATTGTCTCTGGTGATTAGCTTTTGTCCTTTCTGGTAGAGAGGGGGAAGGAGACACTTTGGTAAATTTATGTCTTGCTTTTAGGCAAATAGGAGGAGAGCAGAGAGCATTTTTGTGTCTGCTTGTTCTTAATTGCCTTCATTCTGAAATAATCCATGTGCCAAACTGGCATATTTTGGAGTGGTCAAACTTTGTTACTTTTCACATTTAAGGCAATAAAACTTGAAAATTAGAGGAAGGCGTTTTTTCTTTCAATGTTGCTCCTAAGAAAGATCAATGAGAAAGTAATATTAATGCATATATGAGATTTAATACCTGGGCTTTTTAAAACAGAGCGCAATGAAAATCACATCTCTGATTACACAAAACTAAATACAGATCACGGAGTAAAAACAGGAGTGAAAGACTCAAGAGAAAGGGGAGATAGAAACGATTTAAAGACCTACTCCGAACTAGACGTGGATTTAAAAAGAAAAGCAAATTCCTTTCTTGGATACCATAGTCCTTAGGAGCACAGATTCTGGAGCCAGACGACCTAGGTTCAGATCATCTAACATCATTTATATAATCGTCTTTGCCTGGAAGCTATGAGTATGAAGATGGGTATGACATATTTTCTGCTCTTTGAGAGCCATCAGTAACTCTTATAAACAAAATATAAAACAATGAGAGTTAAATGTTCTAAGACAACAAATAGATGGGTGGACAGAAGTGAATAGACAGTGTGAGTGTCAGTGGTTATAGTCAATAAGTGAAGAAACAGAGACGTAAAGAGTTTGGGATTTACTTTTGATCTCTTGGCTAGCAAGCCCGGGGCTGAGACTATGACTTCGTGAGCCATCTCCAAGTAGAGAACTAGGGCTCTTTTCCCTCTGCAGCCTTATCTCAGCCTCTATCCTTACTAGCTGTGTGAACTTTGGGAATTGACTCAGGCTCTCTGAGCCTGAGTTGGTGTATCTGTAAAACAGAGCTAATAACAGTACCTATTTCTGGAACTTGTTATGAGTATTGAATGAGATAGCGTGTATAAAGTGCTTTACAGAATGCCTGGCTCACAGCAAGCATTCAATATATCTTGCCTTTTATTAATAGTTATACAAATATTTTATTTCATTCCAGTACTGCTTGTGGAGAGCAGATTACGTACTTGGAGTCACATAGTCAAGATTAGTTCTATTTTTGTATACATTTTTTTTGTTTCTGGGTGGAGTATACAAGACAGAAACAATCAGATATAATACATATATAGAGAGAAATACTACAATTACAAGGCAAAGCCTTCCCAGAAGAAGTAATTAATTGCAAAATGAAGTGACTTGGGTTTTCCCCTTTCTCTTTAAGCTTCCACAAGAGGCTATGCCGTACTTCAAAACACTGCAACATATGAGCTTCAGAAAGGAGAAGAGAAAAAAAAAAAGATTTCTGGACAACCAGTCTGTATAAAATACCTAGGGCAATTCTTGGCACCAAAAACGTGTTCACTGTAAGTTAAACTGACTTTATGTGATTATTGAATATGTCTTCTATGCCATCTTCACAAATACTCACTATCCCCAAACAAACTAGGTTTGTCAACTTCAAGGTCGAAACAGTGCCAAAAAAAGAGAACATTTCTCTGGGTGGGGGAAATTTATGGCTTCATCTGCGAGTCATTTGTAATAAATTATCTAAAAATATATGCTTTTAAGAGTTTGGGCCAGTTTCAAAATGTGAAAAAGTTAAATTTATCAAAGCTATCTTTTCTGTGTTGTTGTTCTTGTTTGAAAGATAATTGTGAACGAAGTGATAGAGAGTGTCATTGAATGCCAAGTGAATTAGGGAACCATGGGAAGCAAGGCTTCTGATGAGAAGATCATGCTCCAGGTCTAGGGTGCAGAGGTGCCATTCTTTAAGCTGTTCAGCTGCAGATCCAACCTGTGTTCACTAAGCCCTGGGGTGGCACACAGTCTGTACAGGGCACTGGAGGTACCAGTAACCACTGGTCAGGTTCCCACTGGAAAGACAAGACATACACTCAGAATGTCAACCCAGTGACACTGTCCAAAGTCAATAAAAATCCTGTAATGAGGAATCACAGTGTAGAATGTGATGCAGCCCTGAGGAGAGGCATAAGCAGGAAGTTCTGTGAGTTAGGGGAAGAAGAAAGCTCTGTGGTCTGCAAGCATCTGGAAGGCTGAGATCTTGGGCTGGAAGAGGTGAGATGGAAGAGGTGAGATCTTGGGCTGAAACTCAGTGGGAGTATAGCGTCAGGAGAGGTGTGAAAGAGGTGAGTTCCTGGGGAATAAGCAAGGGTTGCTGCTGCATAATGGGAGCAGGCAGGGATACATCTGGCACTCAGGAAACCCACTGGGGCATCTCTTAGTACTCCTGTGCTATGGCCTCATAAAACATGGCAACTGGGGCCCCAGACTCCTCAGAGGAGAGGATAAGCATGTTTCATTTGCTTGAAGGAACTAGTCTCACTTAGGTACAAAAGGAGTGAATGAGAATCTGGAGAAGTGTTCAGAAATCCCACTGTTATATGGGCACACTGCAGACATTTAATGAAGCTCAAGAAATTCATAATTCCTTTTTGCGGTGTATCAGCTGAGACAGCCTATTACAAGTGCAGTTGCCTTGGCTCAGCTGAAATGTGACCGAGTCTAAGTTCCGTGAATGCATCTTGCAGTTCAGAACTTGACTCTACTAAGTGTAGGTTGGAGACACTACCCATGTTCCTCACCCTGAGGACTTGGTGGTTCAGGAAACTACCTCATGCTACAAGAACTTGTGGTTTTCTAAGAATTTCCTCTGGCAAGCTCACATGCCTTGGCCTGATGTCAGGTAGGCTATAAAGGCTGGGGAATTAATATCCGCAGAGCAGTTCTCATCTAATGGGAATTAGTGCGTGAAACAGCCCAGAGTTCTCAGTTCTTCAGTCATCGCTGAGATGTGTACCACACTGCCCCCTGGAGGCTGAAACCCAGTCTCCCACAAAGGTGTTCTCTTGGCTCCAGCTTCGTGCCTGTCCCCATTCTCCATCCCCCTACAGATATTTCCTGGGATCTTATTCCAAGTCTCTTTGCAATAAATCTTTGGGTCAGGGTCTGCTTCCGGGGGAACCCAAATGAAGACAGACAGTTTGAACCTCAGGACTTTCATATTCCCATGAATGTTCTCCACCGAGGTGAAGTTCCTGTAAAAGGCTATTTACCTGTGGTGCTGCTTGGCAGGTTCAGAGCACACTCCTCTGGAAAATGTTTCAGCCACTGTAACTCATGTTTATGAATATGGTTAGTCAGGATAAAATTTTTTTTTTCTTTTGACTCTGGTCTGAATAATCATGAGGGGTATTGCAAACAGAATGTTTTAGCAGAAGAAAATCAAGGAAATGAGGGAAATCACAATCATTCCCGAAGTGGTGGGAAGCTCTTCTGCAAGTCACTGATTCAGCAAGTATTTATCAAGTCTTGTTTATGCACAGGGCACTGTGAGGTACCAAGATCATTGTAATTGTAAATTTGATTTTGGAGAATGCATCCCATAGTCATGAAAGCCAGGAGGATATTCATGTTGGTTAACTAAAAAGGAATGAAACAGATTTGTAAGCACACAACTTGCTCAGATACTGTCTATGGAATCAGGATCTAGGGAGGAATTCCTTCCTGTTTTTTTGAGTGAAGATAAGCAATTGCCAAAGAAGTGCATATCCAGATCCCTAAGGTGGCTGGTTAGTGGGCGCTAACATTCATTAGGTTTTGTGAAATGCGACACAGTTTTTAAAAAATAAATCACTCTATTTCATATTCCACCTCATATAGTCTTTAGCTTTTTCTAATTGCTTTCCATAAGCTTTTTTGTCTCCACAACACAATTGTGAGATGTGTTGTATCATCCCACTATATTGTGTAACTATAAAGACACATGAGAAGTTCACCCACTTATTAATGTTACAAGTGTTCACTGCATGATTGTTGTGTCCCAGGCACTGCCTTCTGGGCACTGATGCCCACTCACTACCACAACCCCCATCTCCCCTTGCCATGAAAAAGCAATAGAGAACACATGGTCTCAACTTACAGGGAGTTTCTGGTTCATTTGCAGAAATAGGCAAAGAAAGAGGAATTTTCAAAATGGTATGGTAAGTGCTAAGAAAGAAGAGAGTATGGGGTGGAGGAATTCCAGTTCATTCAGATTTGGGAAGGCTGAGAGAACAAGTGGGGTCAGGGACAAACCCAGAGTATGTGTCATCTAAACCTCATGTGTATGTGCTTTAAGGACTTAGCTAGATAGAGGGCACTGGAGGCTGAAGGGAAAACACAAGCAAGCATCTAGACATGGAGGAGAGCATGGGGTGTTTGGGAACTAGGAGTGTTCAATAGAGCTGGAGTGTAGAGTCTGCTCAGGGCTGGCAAAAGAAAGGAAGTGAGTCAGAACATGAAGAGCTTGAATGCTCTGCTCCACAGTATAGACCATTTTGGAAGGGTAACTGGGAGAGATTGAAATTTCTTTAACAGATTAGTAAAAAAGTCAGATTTTCACTTTAGTTTGCTTTGACTGCTCCATGGAAACTGAATTGTGGGAGAAAAAGACTGGAAGGCAGGAGACCATTTAGGAGGTAGTAAGTGGCCTTGAAGGATCAGGTGATAGAGTGATTGGGCTGGCATCAGCAGAAATGGAGAGATGTCGGTAGAAGTGTTAAGAGGGGAAGAGAGGCTACATGTAAGGAGGTGTGTGTGTGTGTGTGTGTGTGTGTGGTGGGGGGGCATGGAAAGTAAGTGCACTTCATGCAGAAGGGGGTGCTGGGCTGAGGAAGGAGACATGACTTAGCCTAGCTTCCGGGGTGACTAGAAATTTCATTCCTTTTGTTGTTTCTTACACTTGAAACTCTTTTCTACAAGATCTGATCACGTGTGACAAAACCCAGCAAACTCTCTTTTGGTCTGAATCTGATGACAAGGCAAAACAGACACTTCAGCTTCTTGTTCTTTATCTCATGGTTGATTAACAGAGATTAAAACTCTGTGCTCTCAGAAGTTTGCCATATTTGGGGAAAACAGCCATTTCCCGTTTTGAAGCCTAAAATTTATGTCTGCAGCTTGCAAAACCACAGTGTAAACCACCTCATTTGCAAACGTGTATAAAAGCTGAGTTGCGACAAAGATGTTTAGACTAGGGTTGATACTGCTTGTGATAGTCTCCATCATATTTGTTTCCTAACTTGTCTGGTTTTTGTCTTACAGTTTGGTGCCATGACTCAGGATCAGACCTTGTCTTCAGATTCCCATTTACCCCAGCCAGGTAATAAGGCCCTTTGGAGCCTTTTGTGCTCCATTTCTGGCTGGAAACCCAGGGATCTAAAGGTGAGTCCTGATCCTGGTCCTATATGTTCCAAACTTTTGTCTGTTGGAAGCATGGTAAGAATTTGATTTTGATTCTTTCTGAGTTCTTTAGTTGATTTCCAGTGGTGGAGTTTTGGGGTGTGTGTGTGTGTGTGTGTGTGTGTTTATTGTTAGACCATTTGGCTATCTCTGTAAATGAATTAAATGGTTTATAGATATTTTGTCTCTATTGAATGAAAGATGATGGAAAATTGAGTTCATTACTCTTTTCTATTTGTTTATCCATTTTTCTCCATTTTGAACTCAAATCCATTAAGAATTTGTATCCATTAGGAAGGAAAGAACTCTTTTTATATGAAAGTGAGTTTTGTATTTCTGGGTTTACCCCTAATGTATGGACTGAAATTTTGGAATTGAAGCTATAAGTTTTCTAGATCTAGACGTATGTTTATGTGTCTATAGGTATGTAATATTTTCCTGCCTCCAGATGGTATTACTAAATTAGATTACAAAATTTTTAAATCGAACTCTACTCTAATTCACAGACCTAAGATCTTAAATGGGACTATTCCTAAAAATTCTCAAGTATTGAAAAAATTAAATTTTGAATACTTTCAATGTACTCAAAATACTTTCTTATAGGCAGTTACTCAAATGTTCTAAGAATTCAAGTTTACATAATTGAGGTTACTTTGGCAAATGAGACTAATTTAATTTGTTGGTTTAATAAGAACAGCTTTATCTTCTGAGTTGTCAGCATTAAGTGTAATACAAATGTACATTTTTATTTTACTTGGGCATGTTTCTCCTCAACTTGTAAAGGTGTGCTGATTTAATATGCTATCATTTCAGTTACTATATTTTAAGATTATGAAAAAATGTAAATTTGTATTTAGTCAAATTAAGTCATTATTTGGACAAACTTTATTTCAAAAATAATTTTGTTTTGTAGAATGTCAGCTTGAAGACAGTTTCCAAAATCATTTGGTAACTTAAAACCTTGGACTGATGCTAAATTGAGTTAATTCATGAATCATTAGATACCTAGATCAGATCTAAGTAGGATAAAATACTGAAGCATTAATTGCTAAATACAATTTCATTTTTATATACTTTTTGCCTCTTATTTTTATATAATACAGAAAGGCTATATATTTGGGTCTGTTAATGGACATGTTCATTTTTGCCACATTGAGACACTATATTATGAGGGATGTTCATGGCTATAAAAAATTATGAGATGTATATTTAAAAGCTCTGCTAGTCAGCTAGAAAATACTGGTATATGAAAGACAGGTTACAGTTATTTACTAACAGGCACTCCTTCCTTGACCAGACTTTAGTCAGGCTCCTGCGAGTCTTCTTCTAGATGAGCCTCGACCTTGGCCTACTGAGCTCCATTTTAGCAAAGAATCCTAAGCTAGTTAATTGACAACTGCTCCCCTTTATATCTGATCATCCTTGATATCTGATCGAGCTCCTCATCCCCTGCCCTGGATATCTAAGCCCCTGGCCTGCTTTCGGTAAGAATCTTGTTAAGCTAGTTTAGCAAGAATCTCCTTACTTTGGTATCCAAACAAGTTCCTCTCAATAATTTTCTATCCACTCACCCCCTCACTCAGCTCCTTGGCTGCGATCTTCAGTTGTCTGTGTTGTGTAGAATGGGACTCAGGGCTACACTGAAGCCTCTCTCCCCTACTGCAGTAGCTCTAATAAGATCTGCCTCGCCATTTTGACACATGCCCTGGAAATACTTCTTCTCTTACACCACCTCCTAGTCTTCTCTATGCAATAGAAGTGGCTGTAGTGAAAACTTAGAATCAATATATGTGAATGAGGCTCTATTAGGAGTGAGAGCAGCAGAGAGGAACAACTTTGCATGCAAAGTGTGCAGGAGGTATTTTGTTAAGGAAAACAAGAGAAGCTTTGTTCCAAAGTAAAACAACTCATACCGAAATGAGAGAGAAAGAGATAAGTGTATGATAAAACTTGTCTGGATAGACAAAGTTGCAGATGGTTCACGGAACAGGAATTTTACTTCTTGTAGTCAAAGCTGGCTGAGGTTTACGAGTTTATTTATAAGATTTTTAGTAAGAGTGTTAGTACCAAATATGCTGTTTCAAAACTAGCATTTGGTTTTCTCTCTGTTAAAATGACAATTTTTTCTTAGATTACTGGAATTCTCTTAATAAGTGCTTTTCTCTACATTGAGAATAATCTGCCTAGAAAATAACTATTCAGGGTTTTATTAGAATAATTCCTATACTTGTTGATTTTGTCATGTCTTTAATTACTTGAGAGAACAAAGTCTTTTCACTTAAAAAGAACTTAAGATCTTTATAGTCACATACCTCCTATGTCTACTTTAAAATTTATATTGTCATTTTGGTTAACTAGATAACCAACTCCTATTTCTTAGTAATCCATGATCCTATTTAATCAAGTGTTCAAACTTGACTGCTTTTTATATTTTACCTTCCAGAAATCAAATCCTAAATATCTTTTGCCAAGGAAATTGTCAAGGAAAAAAAAAAAAGTTAAGTCTGGACCTAAGTAAGGAAAGACATTATTGAATAAGACTATTACAGAGAGATGCTCAAAGCCCGAGCCAAAACAGTTTCAGGCAAGGGGAGTGGGAGCAAAGCTTCTGTAAGCAGAGACCCTGGGATGGGTGTCTGTGGAAAGCACAAGAACGATGTCATGCTAACAGCTGGTGTGTGGGAGGGGCCTTGGAACTTAATGAACTGCATCAAATATTGTACTAATAGAAAAGTTGAGGCAGAAAAGTTGGTTTGTGCTCAGGCACATGGGCTTGGGATTCTGGGTCTCGGATGAAGTAAACAAGCTAAAGTGTACCTAGAGTTGAGACCTAGTAGTCTTCAGCAAAGCAGCCTAAACTCGTGTGAAGCACAAAGTTTCATCAGCCTTGTCAGTCCCTCTCCTTATTCAAGGCGGGCTCAGAGAGACTCTCCATGAGTAATTCAGAGATAAGGAATAACTCAAACAGGAGATGGTTGAGTGAAACAGACCACAGGGTCAGCATTTTCTCAGTGATATCTCTAGTAGAAGGCTAGTTTACCATCTGTTTGGTGTGCCGGTGAAGGTCAGTTGTTTCAGTGTCCTTCAATGGGATGCCTAAAATGAAAAAGATAAATGTTAATATAAAGGAATATATTAAAGTGAAGAGCCAGAATTTGAACCCTAAGACTATCCAGCCCAGTGAAATCTAGGAGATCAGTGAATGAAATAGTTTGATTGTGCAGCACAGTTCCCTGAGTTGTATTATGCTCTTAATTATGTTGCCCAGAGTCTGGGTTACCTCCCTTATGAAGGCATGCATGACCTGAGCATTTCACCAGACTTTCTTAGTCACTCAGCAGCTTGTCCAGAGAAAAGTCTGGTCCATGCAAGGACTGATGCAGTGTTTCTTTAGATCCTGGAGAGGGGAGACCAATTACAAGGCAACTTAGAGTCCTAATAAGGATCTGGACAATCATGTTCATGCAATCATGAGCAGTTGCAGTTGCAATCATAGCAATCATGTTTAGTTGAAGTCAGGAGGAAGGGAGAAAAGTTGGACAGGTTAGTTTGAAAGGTTGTAGGCAGATATGAAGGAAACTGAAAGAATTGAAAATTTGGTAAGGGTTGACAATCTCTGTAAAGTAACAGATCCAAATCCGATTTATAAGTAGATATCAACACTAATTTATCCATAGTGGGAAAGGAAGCTAATTAGTGTCTATCAGACAAGACAAAGTTTACATATCGACCAGTTATCTGCAATTTACAGAGGTGCAAAAGAGCTCAAAGACAATGAATAGGGTCAGAATCTGATGATCCAGAAGAGCACGCTTAGTTTCCCATTGAAACACAAAATGCTCTTACAGTCCCTTTTCCCCTTTTGATCAAAGACAATCTCAAAGAAAGATTATTCTTGATCACAAAACAAGGCTGGTCTCATTAGACATGACCTGTTTGTTTACACAGATGCAGCAAGAAGGACAAGTCAACACATGAGTCTTCTATTTGCTTTGCTGGACATTTTCACAAAGAACCTCAGATTGGACTTTTCAAAGCCTCTTATGGATAGGAAGCCAGGCCAAAACTTCACCATCATTTTTCACCTGCATTACCTAGTGATTTGGTGGGAAGTCCTCTCTTCCTGAGGTCCCCAGAATATCCTAAGATTCCTGAGCCTGCCTTGCTCACCTATAAGGCTGGGAACCCTGTAAAGCCGGTTACCAGGCCAGCTTCCCTAAGAGGGACTTTGTAAGCATTGGCCCCATAAAGTCTACCTTAATTCCTAAAAAGAGCCTGGTCACATCTGATGAAATGAGCATCCTTCTCAACTATGACATTCTAGGCAATGCCAGCCTTGATTGCATAACCAGTGTTTCCAATTCTGTCCTATTAACAAGGTGGACAGACTCCTACTGAATCTATGCAAATAACTAGGGTGCCACGAAAACAGGAATCCTCAATAAGAGTTCCACAAATTTCACAGGGTGAGTCAGGGCAGAAAAGATCAATGTTTCATTTCTGCTTTACAAGAGCACAGTCTAATAAATTGTTATGAGGGATACATAGCTTGAGAGAAAAGAGAGAGTGGTTCCTTACATCCAGAAAACAGAGCATTAAGGCATCAGCACTGTTCCAAGCAAAGCCCATGTCCATCTAGTTTATTCAGTGCTTTGTAATTAATTCTTGTTCCACTTGATCTGGGTTAGTAGTCTCATGAACACATCTGCTTCTTGACTAGAAGTCTGGGACTCCTGACTCAGTCCACTGGTATGATCTCATAATTATTGAAGCAATGCCATCAGCAGTCTGTAGCCAAGAAGACCTGGCATGGTCCACTTCCATGGGTTTCTAGGATAGTCCTGTTTTTGTTAAAGACAAAGCACTCAGCTTTTGCAAAGGCTTTTCGGGAAGCAACAGAGTAAAACACAAAACCACCTGTAAATGACAGAAAATTTAAAATAGCCACGGTTAATGTATTTTTTATAATTTTCAAAGGTGAAAGATCTGATCAGAGTTCACTATTAAAATAGTACAATTGATAAGAAAACATGATTGTTCATGTGACACTTAAAAAAGTCAGTTCAAAAAGTTTTAGACAAAACATGCCAAACAGAACGATGAATGCTATTTTCAAAGAACACTGGATATTATATCTAATTTGTGGAAATGGATAAGCATAATCTTTACAGAGAAAAAAATATCAGATACAACATAACAACTCTGAGACATGATATGCCACGAACATGTCAAGCATATTGTTAGAATATACTAGTTACCAAGCAAAAAGTAAACTTAACCTGATTGAGTTAGTCTCATTCTGACTTCTTCATGCCAACAGCTTCCTATCAGGGCATACCTAAAGTCCTTCCCTTTTAGTCTACTATACAGCTCACCCACTAATCTCCCTGCCTTGAGTCTCTGCCAAGTGTAAGTGATGGTGGCTGACTCCCATATGATAGCAAGCTCTGAATAAATAGTCTTTGCTCATTCTCATTTGGGTGGCCTTCATTTATTTCCACATCAGTACTGCTTAATCAAAAGATTTTCTTCCACCAGCCTCTTGGAATCCACTAAACCTGT